TGTGTGTGTGTGTGTGTGTGTAAGGAGGTGGGGTAGGGGCATTAACCTCCCACAAAGCCTCAGGGCAAAAATTTGTTGTTGGGGCCCTATTGACCCCCTACTGACTAGTTCATTAATTACATTAACTGATAAATCAGCAAAAAGTGGGATAACTGGATAAATGATTAATTGTTAAATATTTTTTAAGCATTATATAATATTTATACATGGCTTCTCAAGTATAAATATTTACTAGTTGCTAGTTTTCCCAGTCCCTGTTTTTTATTGTAAACTCCTAAACACCTTTACATTTTTGACTTTTGGTCAGACAAATTTATCTGACAATGTTAATTTGGGCTTCAAGGAAAAATTGCCATTTCTCACTATTTTCTGACATTTGTACACTGATCAATCAAATGATTATTGAATAAAACAACTGTCAGACATACTAATAATGAAACAGTTGGTTGCAGACTTACAGTTCTTTAATGAATAATGACTAGGCCTACTAATAATGAAATAATGAAAACTAATAATGATGATAATGATAATAATGGAGTCTTAGTTACTTGACAAACAGAAAGAATTCAAGCAGTTTGATACAATGCAACTTTACAATAAATGAGCACAGTATAAATCAATACAATTAAGGTCTTAAAACCAGATTTTGGTGCAGGGTCCCTCTTCAAGAGGGGCCACAAGATGAGGGTGGAGGACCCAGTCATAGTAGATATTCTACTTCAGTGGTGGAAATTTCTCAGACTTTAGCTTTTCATCAAATTTGTCTAAACTGTAGTCATGAGGTTCTGCCCTGAGGGTCTTAGGGGTGGGGGTGGGTTTACTTACTGGCTCTCCTGTTCTTCATCATCACTATTGCACTGAGAAACATGAGAATCTCCAGTTCTCTCTGTAAAACAAAAAACATGCAACAACTTTGTGATAAGTGAGTGAACCATTTTACAGCAGCCGACTGAAGCCCACCATATTTAGCAGCACTGCAGCGCGACACTATCCCCAGCGTGCTCACCCAGTCAAAGTCGCAGGAGTTGCCGTCCTCCCTCTGGCTCGCCAGGTGCTCGCACAGACCGGGAGCTTTTCGCACCACCAGGAAGGCGACGGTCATGAAGAGCGAGGTGATATAATACGGTTTCAGCAGCCATTTGTAAATCTGAGGGAAGTGGTACAAGAAAGTACAGAGTCCTGTGATCAGACCCATGTTGGCACATACGACAGTCAACACCACGGGGTGAGAGGAGAAATGACAGCTGAAGGAGCTGAGTGGTGCTACTGGGTTGAACTGCGCCTGCGCCAAACGAAACGATTTCGACACAGCCATTTGCCGTAGATTTGATACACACACACACACACACACACACACACACACACACACACACACACACACACACACACACACACACACACACACACACACACACACATACTTGATTATATACAGGAGCAGTCAGAGCCTCTCCTGTGTGTGCCTTGTGAGTTTGGACAGGACAAATGCCAATGTGTTTATGCAGAACAACGGCTTCAAGTCAACTTTTGGATGGGTTTGAGAGGTCATGGAGATATAGTCATTAAGTCAAGGTATATACAGGCCTGCTGGAAAGGGAGAAAACAACTGAGGATGGATTACTGAGCAGACGTACTGGGCATATGAACAGGAGCCCAAGAGGATCAGCGGGCCCCTGGGCTTCACCTCTAAAATGTCACTGAAAGAAACAGAGACTGACCACAAAGAGTAGCAAAAAAGAAATTAAAAACCCAGAGAGACACTAAATGACCACAAAGAGTTGCAAAATGACTGAAAATACAGTTCAAAACCAGGAAAACATACAAAATAACCATACTGAGACATACAATGCAGAAAGAGGCACAAAATACATGTAACAGAAAATTTTCTACAGTAGATGCAAAACAAGTAAAAACATATAAACAAATAAATCATAAAAACATAGAAATATGTAATAAGCTTTCAAAACCAGAAAAAAGGGCAGTGCAAGAGTGACAACAGCATTGAAATCGGTAGATAAGGGAAGACATTAAATTGAGAATAGAGTGGGAGGTGTGAAAAATGAGGAAGGAAAAGACAGAGTAATGATGCCAAGATTAAAAATAGGACACAGCAATCTGAACATGGGAGGGGGGAAGCATCCAACTACTCTTTGTGAATATTGTGAGGTATAGAGCATTTTATTTTAGCTGCACAAAATATTTTGAAAATGACATAATGGAAGAAATGGAAAGACCAGGGCTAAGAGGAGCAAGATCACAGAGTATACTGGATTATGGGGACAGTGGGAGTTGTTTAGTCATCTAATTCAACAGGACTAATGGGAAAATCTGACAAACTGGACACTGTAAGAGTTAATTACCACCAGAAGGTGGCAGCAGTGCAGCACCGAAGAGGCCGGCCGCCATTAAACCGCGAAGAAGAAGAAGTTGATTTGGCGGTTATTGCAAAACGTAAACAGAGGAAGCTAAAAATGGAGGAGAGCGACGTAGCAACACAAAAGGAGTCTCCTTTTGTAGATAACACTTGTGGCGGAGACTCCGCTGAAAAGCCGCCTAATGAAGCCACGGGAGAGGTTTCCTCACAGATGTCAAACCCTGGGTCAGTTCATAAGCCGTCCGAGGAGAGCGGAGCTCGGTATAACAGGCTGAAGCTCTTCGACAAAGTGATGCAGAAGAGCCTGGAGAAGTTCATCGACCATGTTAGGTACCGTGACTTCTGTGTTTGTAAGACAAGACTGTCTCGAAACGACGGTGAAACCCGGGTATGCAGTAGTCCCAGTTTGTGGCAGCAAAAGGTTTCTTCTGCCTTGCATTTGTTTTGGGCAACAACAAATGATCATTTTCATTATCATCGCATCTCTCTCTTAATATATGCTTGTTTTGCCCAGTTAATAGTCCAGCGCCCACATGTATGCAACTGTAAATAATATACAGTGACATATAAAAGTAGCAAGTCATCACATTTAAGAGGCTGTAAACTGTGAATCTTTGGTATTTTCTCTTGACAAATGACTTAACAGTTACTCAGTAATCAAATTTGTTGTTATCCATTAATTTTCTGTCAATCCTTTTATAGATTAAACAATTAATCACTTTAGTGCTTGATTTAGTTATCCAAGAAAAGGTCTATTGTTTTGGGAAAAGCCACACTTTGCTGCACTTTTAGTTGACACTGCTTTCTCTAACAGTTTTAACAGATTCGCCAGCACGTTTCGTCCACTGTACAAGAAGAACCCTCAGAGGATGGAGAGCATTCACAAGCAGTTCATAGAGGAGTTGCGGCGGACTATCCAGGTATGTAGCACAATACATTAATACAATGTATGAAAATAAACAACAAATGGAAGGTATATTGTCCTATTGTTTGTATTTTAGGAGGACATCAGCAGACTGATTGAAGAAGGCCGGTTAGAGGTCAAACTGAATGAGCTGGACAAACTGGAGCGCGCTGCCAAGAACAACCCAGACCCTGCATGGTTAGTATACAGTTCAGCATAATAAATTGTAACAAGACACAAGTAGTAGGTAGTAAGTTAATTTTCTTGCAAAATAATAAGGGCAAATCTTAATCATCTGACCTGCATTTGGATCTGATGTGTTTGCGTGCAGAAATTCTTTCCACCCTCATTTAATTTGGTCAAATATGTAATTGATAAGTATTTGAACTTCAAAATCATGTCAATGTCCGCAATACTTAAAGGTACATAAAGATGGAAACAGGGCAACTTTATGGGCAGTTGTTGGCTAATGGTACCAATAATTTTCTGGAGCAATGTTGTGTTAAGCATTAAAGAATATTTTACTGTCTGAACACTTGTATACCCTGTGCTTTACATGTGATTAAAATACAAAACATTTTAAACTATTACTATCTCACCTGTTCTGTTAGGCGGCCCAGTGGGGTTCCCGAACAGGACTTTTGCAGCTTTTTGATGCCCTACTATCAAAAGCAGGAAGCTTACATGCGACTGGAGCTGAAAAAGATCCAAGCGGAGAATGCTGCACTTGCACAGAAGGCTCAGGCTGGCAGAGAGAGTGTTGCTCAGACTGAAAACCGGATTTCAGCAGCTGTTGATGAGTGGAAGGTAAGAGGGGAAAGATTGAAGATCAGTAAAAGAGCCATTGGAGCTGGAAAAAAAGCATTCACAAAGTTTTTCACTAAGAGGATGCACATGTAAACAAGTGTAAAGCAGTGTCTTTGTTCTAATAAATATGAAATATAATAACAAATGGAAAAAGCCAGAGCATCTAGAACAGTTATATTGTTTTAGGCACCTAGATAGGAATCACTGAATCATTTCAGTCATTACAATTAAAAAAAGTTCTGTTTGGCTTTTTAAGACAAAGCAGAACATTTTGATTTAACACTTTGACACATGCTTTAGCAAAATGGGTTGGGTTTCTCATGAAATCCAATAAGGGACTCCAAACTTAAACATAAAGACGATTGATATATTTATTATTGCTGAGGGCCAAACGATATCTGAGCATTATAACATAAGCAGAAATATAAAATAGAAGTTTGCATTGAGTGTTAACTATTTTTGCTTGTTTTGTCTTTTCTGACTTTAGGCATCAGTCACAGAATTTGAAAGGTTGGCGTCTTCTCTCTGCCCTACTGATGTCTTTGATGTGTGATCTTCAAATTATTCTACAAATCATCTAAGTTAACTGTACATATTGATTTTGTTTACTATGGCTGTTTGTCTTAAAATAAACTTGAAATTTTGGAAATAAAATGTGTTTTGTGACCTCAGTAATTATATATTCGTGTGCGCCAACATACACCAATCATTATGGTAATGTGCGTGTTAATGTCTGGTATTACGGTACATGGGCCATGAAAATAATGCCACAAAGAAGTGAAGAGTCGGGTAGTTGATACTCGGATGGATTCACGGTGAATCACAACCATATAGATAACAGCTTGAAGAAACTCGGCTTTTTTTCCTTTCCATATAAATGTATCACTCACGATAGATATGACGGAAATGTTTTCAACTATGTTCGGGCAAAATGACGCTCAGGGACAGCCCGGCTCGTCGTCTCTGGCTTTCGGACCGGGGAAACCTGCGCCGCCTCTTCCGCAAAACCAAGTCTCCATGTCGGGGCAGATGCCACCGCAGCTCGGGGACGAAGGGCCTGCTCTGCGGAAGCCTGGAGCCATGAATGAACCTTTCTACTTACTGCGGGAGCTACCTGGTACTGTCGGGCTCTTATAACTACGTTGTGCCTTGTGTGTTATTTGTTTGTTAATTTAAGAGTCGAGTTTCTGTTAAAGGTTGCTAAGCAGTTTGTAAACAGTGCTAGCCAACATTAGCCAACAACATGAGTGTTAGCGAGGCTAATTGCCGGTATTAGCTCACCTGTTTTTCATAGGTAGGGTGGTGTTAATGTTGCTTCTGTGACGCAAAAACGTTTCCAACTGAGTGTCTCATATTTTAACCCTCGTGTTTTAAAGTTAGACGTTATGTAACTGCTGTAATCACAGGAATGGGCATCCCTGAACTAACATTGGCTCTAGTTGGTAATGGTCACCTAGCGATATTTGTGCTACTTAATGTGTTAGATGTATACATTTTTTAAACGTGACAACAACTTTTAGTGAGTTCTGAAATTGAACATACTGATATGAACCTGTGTGTTTAGTGGGAAACGAGTTGACGGGCAACACCAACCTCATTACGCACTACAACCTGGAGCACGCCTACAACAAGTTCTGTGGGAAGAAGGTGAAGGAGAAGCTCAGCAACTTCCTACCAGAGTTACCAGGTGGGTGTATGTGGGAACAAACGTAGTCTGGCAGCCAAGTGTTAATGACAGGAGCTGCACACACTTCATTAGAAAAAATAAATGGAGTTGAGATAGTGACTTATGGTTAGTCTAGGACACTAGTTTACAACTTACCTTATCTTTGATAGCTGTTGATTCTCCTTTATCTCTCATCATTGTGGGCCCCTCACTCTGGAAATGGAGTTGTTATCTTAAAGGTTCAAAACTTGTTCAAGCAACACTTTCAGTAACAACAACTTAACTGTGAGAACGGCACATTTCAACCCATGATGATCATCCAGATCATCAAAAACATGTTGCTCTCTTTCCCCACTTTTTGTATTAAAACTATCAATCAAAATGATGACCCAAATGGAGGCCACATCCGAAATTCATTGGTGTCACTATGTCGTTATTCTTAATACTATAGGTGTTGGCGTGTTGTAAACTCCCCACAACAGCAAATATTGTGGTGAAAATGAGAGCAGCTCAATGAAACCCCTATCAATTACTTGCCATCCAAATGCCTCTGCGTACATTGTTTGTTTAATTGTGAACATAGCTGAACACTTCTTCATAGCTGTGTGTGCAGGGCTCACCGACTTGCCTCATTCCAACTTGTCTTTTCTCCTGTTTGCTGCAGGTATGATCGACTGTCCGGGCACTCAGGACGGCAGCTCTTTGCGGTCTTTGATTGATAAGCCTCCAGTGTGTGGGAATTCCTTCAGCCCGCTCACCGGCGCTTTGCTCACAGGCTTCAGACTACACACAGGACCGGTACTAACTGAATACATAACACAGCACATGTAGACTCACAAGATGTAAAGTCTCACTCATTTTCAGCATACTGACACCTAATTACATAAACTATTAACAGTATTATGGCAATTTATCTATAGTTAGAATATTGTGACCTGCTTGAAACCAGTATCTTTCATTTCTTAATGAGATTGTTCAGTTGAATGCTTATATGCATGTTTTTGTGTTTGTTTTTTCCCAGCTCCCAGAACAGTACAGACTGATGCACATACAGCCTCCAAAGAAGAAGAGCAAACACAAACACAAACACCATCGACCACAGGACCCACTACCACAAGGTGTGACATAAATAGACCTCTGCATAAACAGAAAGGAATGTAAAGTGCTTTCAGGCCACTAACCTGCTTCTTTTTGACATCACAGAAACTCCATCAGACTCTGATCCCAAGAAGAAGAAGAAAAAGAGAGACGACGATCCCGACCGCAAGAAAAAGAAGAAAGACAAGAAAAAGAAGAAGGTAAGATCCATCCATCCATTTATCAAGACCTCAGTAATTCACTAAATTGGCAGTTAGGTGTCATTATGGATGCCACTGCAGTCATGGTCAAAGATGGAAGTCCATCCAAGACCCTTATCCTGACCTAAAACCCATATCTAAACTTTATTATCTTAAAAGTTGGAACAAATACCAAATAACAGACACATTTCCAGTTTCAAACTAATTCATGATTTACGCAAAAGGAAACGTTCTCTTACACAAGTTTAGTGCATGTACGGATAGAGTGAAGATGTCTCTGTTCAGAGCATATTGCACACTACTCTATACTGCACACTTGTGGTCAAACTACAGAAAAGCAAGTTTACAGAGACTTCAAGTAGCTTATTACAATGCCAGGAGGGTATTACTTAAGAGATGGTGTTGTGAAAGTGAAATTTTATGGCTGCAGGAGTCAGTACTTTAAAAACCATCCTAAGAATGTAATGTATGAATTTATTTGCCAGCTTAATAACTCTGAAAATTAAATCGTCTTTGGCCTATCAAACCTAAGGTTTAGTGCACCGTGCTACACTTCCAATCCCAGCTGTGGAGACATTGATACGTTTGTCTCTTTGTAAGACATTGATGTGTACTCTTTTTAAACCAGGTTTTTTTTTATTTTTTTATTGTACTTTTGTACATTATTATTATTATTATTATTTTATCTGGACGCTGAGTCTGTATGTTGCTTGCTTGATTGATTGATTAATTACAACTGTGTTGATTTTTGGTCTCTATGGAGTGAAAGGACTCAAAAAGTAGCTTGCAGGCAACAGCACTGAGTTATTATTTTATAAAGCCATGACTGGCCTGTTTCTAACTGTAACATCAAGTAGACAGGTAATAACATTATCACCTCACCTGTTTTTTTTTTTTTTTCATTTCATTCCCTGCACACTTGAACAAATTCAAAAAAATTCAACCTTTTGATTGTGGTCCTCACAGACATCTGAGAAGACATCTGGGTCTTCAGCTTGCTAGGTATTTAACTCACCAGTTAGTTCACTAATTTTGTCTATCTGCTGTTAAGTGCTGGGAAGGTAGTGTGCAATATGCTTTTCTGGAAACAGATTTGTGGAGAATAGCTGAGCCTGAACCAAAAAGTAAATGTGTGAGCCCTAAACAAAACAATTATTAAAACTAAAATATAGCGGCAACAGTGATTTGGGTTTTGGGTGGGCTCACTAAGAGCCACCCTTTTTCTCACTGCATGTAGCAATTTGGAGAAAAATTTAACATAAAAATGTTGATTTATGCAGGTTTAACCATTTGGTTTGCCCTACTAGTTAGAGAACTTCTGCCCACAACTCTGATGGGATCCATAATTTTGCATCACTTAGTCTTTTCTCTGAACATTTTCAGCTTTAAGAGTTTAAAGTTCACTGTTCATGAATCAGCTAACAATCCTGTGACCCTGGGCGTTCATTAATCAGCTTGTGGTTGATCAGAAGCAGTTTATCACCTACTACTTTGATTCAGAGATGGCATTTAGCCCAAATATTCTCTTGCAGATGATTGTTAAATGTGAAAATCCAGGTTTTATCAGTGTGCTGAGTTCTGAGAGACGTGTGTTATCTTAATGAGACTACAGTTACTATTGCACCCCTTATTTTGTATCTATTACTTAAGAATCTCCAATTATCTGCTCATAGTCCCCACACACAGGCACAACTATAAAGCCCTGTCTTCTCTCTCATCATTAACATAAACTTATGTGTCAGGAATGACCATTATTAACTGTGTATTTCACTGATGCTCTATCCCCCTCCAGAACCGTCACAGTCCCGACCACCCTGGCCTCGCTGGATCACAACCCAACAGCAATAGCCTCAGATAGACAGGAGCCCACTGTGTGCATGCCTGTGTTTGAATGTTTGTGTGACTGTACATTTTGTAAAAGGATGCGTGTGTGTGTGTGTGTGTGTGTGTGTGTGTGTGTGTGTGTGTGTGTATGTTTTACAGATAACTGTATTATTGAGAGTATGTTTTGATGACAGAGGGGATGAATCAAAGGATGAAAGTGATTGTGTGATGAATGAGAGTGAAAGGAGCAGTGACACAGTGGATGTGGGTGATGACAGGAAGACATGTTACAGAGCAGTGTAAAAGGCAGAAACCTGATGTTCATAAGCTGTGTGGTTTTGTGGATGACTGAGCAGGCACAGTATGTATGTCCCTCTTTGATTTTGTTGTGATATCTTTTGACCATAATGCCAAAATCAAATAAACGTTGGTTATTATACTTTGTTTGTTTCTCCTTTTAAGACTTGTTTTTTGAATTTGGAGTTTTTGGGTTGTGTTAGACTATATGATCCACTTGCAGCAACAATGACGATCAAACTGACTCTGCGGCACCTTGCTGCTCTCTTTAAAAGGATGATTGAAAAAAATGCCACTTAGAACATACATTTACATTCATACATTTATTTTTCAAATGCACAAGCTGGATATATTGATTGAAGGCAGGAAAGAAAGGCGTACATTTAGCAAGACATACAAGCACCTCAACTCTGAGGGTAAGGACAGAAGATTAGACAAGCTGGTGTAGATGATATAGTGTTAAGATACAGCTAAAGCTAATTATGTTTATTTTGTTGTAGAGACTGTCAGGTGTTGATTAAACTTAATACACTGACAATTTTGGTACCAACTACTGTAAATCTCAGTTACAGAGGCATAAGCACAATGGAGTGACATTAAGTTGAATGCCCTTTGGCAGTATTTGTCAGCTTCAACAGGGACTTTTAAGGCAACTTACAGAGGTACAAAGAGGTCAGATAGTTGTTGCTGATGGTACAATAGTTTCAAAAATTAAATACTGTAATGTGGAAAGAGGAAAGTAACTGGAACTGGAAACCCTTCCCAACACAATGAAATGCACTTAACAGCTTTTACACTAAAGAACACAAACTACAGCCTTTAAAATGACCACCAAGCTGAATCAACACCTGCAACAATCAATGAAAACCTAATACTGTGACCAAACTGGTGTTTACTGCAGGACTAATGCATTTTGTCATAAGGCATTTGTGTTATTTTGCCTCTGTATGTCCTCCTGAGGAAAAGTACTGTACTATCGACTAGCTTTACAGTCCCTAATCATGGCTTTGGTATACAGAGAAAGACATTTGTCAGAGGCATTAATCTCACACTCACTTCTACTGCAATGAAGCCAAGGTGGCAACGAAGGCACAGAGTTGAAACAAAACACAGAATCTCGGTCATCCTCAGTGTGAATGATCATGGTAACTAGAAAGCAGAAAAGAAATACATCGTACAAGACAGGAAAGGTCTTCTAAAGCTGTCTTGAAGCTTAAAGCTGTCTCACTGAAATTGACTGAGCCAAAAAAGAAAAAAAAATTATACATTACAACTGATTTCATAAATCTACAAGACACCGTTGCTGTGTGCAGAACAAACATGTTAGATACGGATACATTTTGTTGTCACTATGGAAGAAATGTACACTTTTCTGTTTTGATGTGCAGCTAGCCGAAACAAGGGGATCAACAGCTAGATCTGTCTTTTTATTGCGACTTTTGAGCATTGAAGCAGAAAAATCACATTAAAAGACAAGTTTAACCACAGCCACTGACTCCTCAGCCATTGGTTCATATACTGTAATATACTGTATACACCCATATGTAGTAAAGCAAGCAGAATATGTAATAAAATAAAAAGACACCTCAGTTCTATTTACAAAATACAATTTTGCTGGAGGTTTGTTTGCTCCAAAATCAATACATGAACAAAAAAAAGCGAAAAGGCAAAAGCAGACGACACAGTAAATCATGATAAGCACACTACAAAATAACAAACGCTTCCCTTTTAAATGCTACTGCAGCTAGAGTATAAAAAGACACTTGAATACATATTTTATACACACACTAGTTCATTTCTGTGCATAAAGCAGTACAAAGTGTTTAACACCACTGACACACACTGTGTGTCAGAATTTTCATCAGTCATATTTTGCCTTGTGAAATTTCATTTAAAAAAGGTTTTTCTTACATATAAAAATTCCAAAAGTACAAGGGCTGCATCAGCATTACCTCTAACTGACATGAATACACAAGGAGAGAATTCTGCACGATTCAATTTGTCATTTGGGGTGTTTGACATTTAAGGGATTTAATATTTCCTAATGTAAAAAAAAAAACCAAACAAAAAAACATGTGATGGACAGACATAGGAGTCGGTTGCAGAGAGACAAAACAAGGAAACAGAGGAGGTAGATATGTGTCTCTACAACCAGCATATCTGTGCGTGTATGTGTGTTTGAATAACTGTGTGGGCAGTGAAAATACCCAGAAAACCTTCTTCATACGTACCAAAGGTGTGGTATTCAGAAGTTCAGATGCTCTTAATAGTGTACTGATATATATTTGTAGCTTTTTCTGAGGGGATCAGAGTAGAAACAGCCCAAATACTAAGTGTTTGCTTCATTAGCACACTCATGAAACAATGTTGAACTAGAAAGTGTAATGCTCATCAAGCTGTTCTTTGGTGTTAGCAAGGATTGTGCTGGTTATCAGAAGGCTGTGAAAACTATATCATTTTTCAAGTACCGTGATATACCGCAGTCTGACACACAGAGGTTTTACCAGGCTGTGTGCATGTGGCTGTGCGTGTTCATGTGAGTGTGAAATCTATGGCTTTACATTACACTAATTTGGTTCATTGATATAGACCAAAAATAAATAAACAGAAACAAATGATGATGACACATCTTCTCCTGGGTAAGGTTAATGGGCTAGATCGGGTGGCGTACCTAGAGCTATGGAAGGGTGGGAGGGTGGGGTGGGTGGTGGGGTCCTGTATACTCTGTGATATGGTTTGTGGGGAGCAAAATTTGCACCAGCAATGACCAAAAAAATAACAAAAAACAAAACAAAACAATGATATACATACAATATATATATAGTATATTTATATATATATATGTGTGTGTGTATGTATATATATATATATATATATTGTTTTTTTACATCGTTTTTTTTTAGTTGATTGCTGGTGCTCCTTTTGAAGGCACATACAAAAAATAAATCCTACATTCCCCCAATCCTCGGCTCTGTCATGCTGTCTAAGCCTCCACAGCAGCGAGACCATTGCTGTGCGGCTTGTGGCCGTTGGCCTCAGTGTGGTTGAGCGCCTGCATCTCCTGACCACCGGCCCGCTTGTCTCTGGCGTCCTTTTCCCTCTGCAGGCATGTGCGGTGGTAGAACAGGTAACCCGGCAACAGGAAGCCAGCAAGTGAGAAGATCAGCAGGCTGAGGTTGATCTGAAGGATGGTTGGAAGACCGAGATGAAAGTTAAAGTCATACAGCTCCTGATCGCTGTTCCAGTTTATTTTGTCTTTGAAAACAAGAACAAATTTACTGCCCTCCACTGGACTACATAACTGTGGATGGCTGTTCAGTCTTCAGTTACATCACTAGTGGGATTATCAGTCATTAGGGAAATAGGGAATGAACAGATAAGTGAAACTGAGCAGGATATCATTGTTATGGGCTTATGCTTCTGCGAAATTTAGATTTATGGAATGGATTTTTTAAAACTCAAATTCATTCTTGGTGTGATAGAAAATTATCTACACGATATAATTTATGTACTTGCAAACAATCTTTTTCTGCCCCATTGAGACACAAATCTAAACCCGCATTCGTGCTGCCAGAATGAACAGTGCTGAGAGCTTGTTTATATCTGTGTGTCTCTGTGTGAAGTGTGCCTAGAAATAAGAGTGGGTCCTCACCCAGTAGGGGTCTCCGCTCAATGGTCCAACCATGGCGATGAAGAGCGGCTGCTGAAGCAGAGCGACCACAGCGCTGATCATGGACTGGAGGCCTGTCAGGGTGCCGAAGTGGTTTGATGGGTAGCTGTGGGAGAAATACTGCATGGTTACCAAAAGTCTGCACCATCACTTTTCAGCTTGTAATACATTAAATATTACTTTTCAGTGAGTTATATATTGATGTAGAGGTGGCTGTGGCTCTGCAGGGCTCTCACCAGCCTGACGTAGTTTTAACGCCCTCTGAGTTAATTACCGTATGTCTGCTGTGTACAGGCCCACACACTCTTATGAGATAATGAACTGACACATACAAATCCTATATGACAACATGTTCCATAAGTGTTCAAGAAACAACAGGGGTTAAAAATTACATGTACAATATTATATAGCCTAATAATGTTCTGTGTGGTTCAAGATAAGAATCTAGATTCAATATAGTCAATATTGAATCGAAACAGTTCAGGTCTTTTTAAAAAGAATATGCTGAAAGTGTTGCAGTAGTGTGGTTGTTGAACACACATAAAACATCCCCTTATTCTGTCACCACATCTGGTTGCTTTTATCACACTGTAAAATGCTGCTTTATGTTCTGTTTTTATATGGTGCTTGAAAACGACTCCAAATGGGCCAGAAAAGAGTCTGTTGTCTCATTTCCAGGTCTTAAATATTGTATAGGTGTTCAGCTGAATGTTTATCGTCTTACTAATGAACTGGAAACTGAAAGCACCTTTTTTTTTTCACTCAGTTTTTCTTATTTGTTAAAAATATATTCACTCATGACACCACTTTAACGGCTGCTTTGTGGTTTAAATGGGAATCTTGTGAAACTTTACACCTCTAAGATAACTTATCCAGTTTCCTCCTAAATGTGATGGTGTTGTTCAGAGCTTCAGTTTTATGTGGCTGATGAAGCGGCAGTGTCGCACTCACACAGCGGCGTAAAGGCCTCCGCAGCAGGAGTGGATGAAGCCTCGGACCATTGTGTGGAGGATGAAGGTCAAAATCTAAAGCAGAGGGGAGCAATACAATCAATGCATCTGAGTGTTGGGGACTATTTATTCTTCACTTGTTTCCTTGTGTGTTCGGGTGTGTGTGTCCTACCTGTAGGGGCAGGTTGTCTATGAGGCAGCAGCATCCGAAAGCGAGAAGCAGCAGGTTGGTGAGGATGAAGGCTCTCATGGCGTTGGTCACTTTTTGGATCTTACGGTCTCTCTTGGACCCACTGGTCGGTCTGATGGGGAACAGACAGAGGTGCTTTAACATTACATCATCCAACAACCATGTTTACAGTTGTGTTCACCACATTTTATGTCACCCAAATGGCCACGATCATGTCCAGGGTGGTCAGCGGTTACCTGGGACACCACTTAATGTAAAGGTCTTGTCTACGACTCATCTGGCCTGGTGTGCTAGTTAATTCACATACTACATAACTGTAAAGTTTGATTCTGGCAGGTGACCTTTGTTTAATGTCACACCCGCCTCTCTCTTTCCCTATATTTCCTGTCAATTTCTTCATTGTCAAACCTTGTAAAGCCTAAAATTAACAGAAAACAAACAGCAAAAACAACAACTTTATTTAACGCAACCAAGTCTATCAGATTACACTGCATGTACCGTTGCTCTGTGCCTGGGGGAGCTACCTTCTCCTCTTCACAGTCCTTCATCTTCCAGTCCATGATGTATCCAATCAGAGGACATGTGACCAGACACAGCAGCTGCAGCGTGCCGAAGATGGAAGAGTAGAAACTCACTGAAGGAGTGAGAAAGTAAGAAGAATTTTAAAGATACGCCCAATAAGTTACATAAAGTATAGAAATTTAAAGCCACATTATGACACTTCTCACCTTTTTCTTCCGCCTCAATCACCAGCTGCTCGGTTGCTGAAATATAAACAAAGACCTATTCTGTCAATGGTCCTCAAAAGTTTGTAATAACGTAAAGCAGATTTAAAAACCCAGTCATCATTAGTGAGTGTTGGACACTCACGATGCACTTCGCCATGCGTCACCATGAACTCCAGCATCTTGTTCATCGCCCCCATGAAGAAGATGATCCTCAACTGAGTCATCCCCATTGTAACCAAACTCCACAGGAAGATGGGAGAGAACACAGACCGGCGGAAGGGAACGGCATCTAAAGAGAAAAGGAGATTTCTGTTTCATTTAATGTAAAAGCTTCAGTTACACAATTAATTTGCTTTCATATCCGGGGAGTTCAGGGCTGATGATTAAGATTTATTTCTTATCAGGGATTAAATGTAAAAGTTGTGGGACATGCAGACAGTCTACATTTAGTTCAAAACAAAACAAAGACTTTTTCTTGTGAATTGCTAATTTTGACTTCTTTTGATCTCAAAAACCATCTATAAAAACTACAAAAAAACAAAAAAAAAAACCAAAACCAATATGAGGACAAAGAATGTCTTTTTGGTTTGAATTGCTCACACTCTGTTGGCATATGTGACCTGTGATGAGGGACACAAACCCCAAAACTTTGGGAACTGCATGAAGTAAATGTTTGCACAGTAATTGTGTGTGTGTTTGCTGACTCACTGGGTGCAGCGTCATGACCGTTAGGAAGCTTCTCTGTGGAGTGTCGGACGTCTCCATTTTTCTGTCTCAAGCTCTCTTCTAGAGTCTTCTGGTCCGATGAAGGCATGTCTTTCAGTGTAGTGAGGATCTTACTGTTATATACACACAGACACGCATTAGGGTTGGAGGGTCGGAGTGAGGGTCCTGATAAATATTTTTCTCCTTTGGTGTCATTGAGATGAGGTGAAGGAACAGACTGGCACTGACCTGTAGTCCACCTCATCAGGTGTTGGGAAGCCTTCTGCAGGCCAGTTCAAGAAACAGTTCAAACAGACGGACCCAGCAAGACCTGCCCACGCCCACATGATCACCTGGAAGGACACGCCTGCATCATAGATCAGCTGTGAAGAAGTAAGCAGGAGACAAAGAGGATTATTATTATTATTATTATTCAATTTCTTTTTTTTAGTAAATAGCAGTTGTTTTTTTTAAGCTGCATTAACTGATGCTTTGACTTGTGGGCAACAGAAGCTGTAAACAGAACACAAACCTATTATCACCTTGTAAAGTTTTTATGTGAATGTGTCAGCAAACCGTTGCTTATTTACACATTCAGCTGACACAGAGGAGCATTAGTATTAATCTGGAGTGGTGTTTCCATCTGTTTTTGTCTCCACTAAATCCCGAGGAAAATATCTGGCTCTTAAGTTGCTAAATGCTCCATTACCTTCAAGCTACCTTCAGCTAACTGTGCTAACTGTGTGCCAGTTGTTTTGTTTGTAACCTGAGCAGGTAGTGCAGAGCTGGCTGCTGCTGCAGAGTTGGGGGATAGTTCTCTGTAGGTGTCAAGCACAGAGCAACCTCTGTCACATTACATTATGGTAATTAAAGTAAACTTATGCTAACCCACTGTTACTACAAAAATATGAATTAGTGCAGCTTTAAAGTTTTAATACAGTGACTTGAACCAAACTGTTTTCCCTCTGCAGTTTCTCTGAAGATCCCACCTTTTAACTGTAGTTTCTCTGAAACACGGCCACGACTATTTTGGGATGTCAACACAAGACCACTTAAGATTCAAAATGTCTCATTAATAATAATAAAAATTATAAGATCTTTTTTGTGAAGCTTTCTTATGTAAAAAGAAATCCAATTATGCTCTTCTATTTTACCCAAACATTGACCATAAAGGCACCATAAAGGCAGTCACATGGTTTCATAATTACATGGTTTATTTGAGAAGAGCATGTAGTCAGTGTCAGTGCAACAGGTGTTTTGTTAATGTAACCTTTGTAAGTTACCTTGACACCAGGGAAGGTGACAGCCGATGAAGCGTAGGAGCCGATCATCAGAGACATGACAGTGGAGCTCAGAGCGCCAAACATGTTGGGGAGCTGCAAGGACAGAGGAATGGACACGTAAGAAACAAATGATATAAACAGACACAATATATGTAATTTATCTCTATTAAAAGAAGTTCACTTACACCTCAACGATGTGAAATACATTGAGCCTGTGTGCTCGCTACACAGACTGTCCTGAGTCAAAAATGTGGTGTGGAGGAGGTGCAATGTGTTATTTTGACCAGCAGAGGACAGACAGCTGCTTTGTGTAAGCAGGGTGAACCAGACTGAGAAAGTTGAACTGTGAGGTTTCCTGCCTACAGAGTCTGCACTCAGTAACACCTTTATCTCCCTGCACGGCAGACTCATTAAAAAAATATTAGTTTCCATGTCATGGGAAACAAGAAACAAAGTCATGGCCCAGTTTGGGTCTTGACCCCATTGTTCAAACACAGACTAAGCTATACTTAGACACACATTCATGGTCTTTATTCTTGCAATTTCAACAAATTCTTTGAATCAGGATTAAAAATGTCGAAGCCGATCTATAGCCAGCGCTTGATGAACTTCACTTGGCTCTTTGGACCCAGCGTGGGGGCATGCATGACACACAGCGAAGGGAACAAGTTAGCGGGCACCAGGCACTAACACATCATACATTAGGTCGACCTATTTACAGTAGTAAGTAGCTTAGTGAACATAACAATGACCTATTGTGCTGGCAGCACACTCAGTGTCCTTTGATTAGAGTTTTAAATGGGTCATGATCATGATTAAAAAATCACATGTGTGGGATTTTAGGTGTGCTGCATGACAAGCTCACTATTCTCTTTCAACATTAACCATGGTTTTCCAAACTTCTGCTGGCGTCACCTCATCTCCCCGCTGGGTCAGAGTTCACAGCGTAGTGTCAGTGTCCCTTTTTTTTCTCCCTATAGTTGTGTGCTCTTTTTACACCGTTACACTGATGTCTCTGAGGCTGGACCAGATCAAGTCAGGGTTGGGAAATGGGGAACATGATGAGAAAATCCAATCACTCAATTTTGAGTCCAATGCATCTGGTCCTCTTAACTTCTATATGATGGGAAGGGGAATGAATGAAGGGCGGAGAGATGGATTTACAGAAGTGTAAAGATACAACATGATCAATTACAAATCTTGCAATCATGCACTGTAAATGCAAACAGTTAGGATAATGATTTTAATTAATCATAACAGTATTTCAGTGTCCATTAAAGTTTTTTAAACCTACATTAACTGATTTTTGGCATCACATTAATCTGAAAACACAACACTGACATACCTTATATCACTTTGTAGAGTTGATATGGCTAACCTGTTAGCAAACAGTTGCCAATTTACACATCCAGCAGACATGGAGCAACATTAGCATTCATTTGGAGTAGTGTTCGGCAAAATTAAGTTCATTTCCAATATTCACTCTTTTAGCTGTTTTTGATCTCCACCAACTCCTGAGGAAAATGGCTGGCTAGCTCTTTCGCTGTTAACTGCTACCACTGTGTTCACCAGCGAATCCGTAACTTTGTCTGCTATTTGGCACAAAGCAGGTAGTGTACAGAGCGTTTATCAGTGGTTATTTGCTGCTATCGAAAACGACGCAATGAGAGCGTGAGTCTGAACCAAAACAGTAAAACCAGAAAAACGATTTGTTTAATGCTACATGAATGTGCTTTGGAATGACGGAGTGACACAGTTTAAAAAAGATCTGTCGCATTTTGCAGGGGACACCCTGGTGGGTCAAAAACTATGAAGTAACTCACAAGAAAGGGCTTGTAAGAACTCTATTACCCCATATGGACACACCTAGAGCTGCTTTGGGCTCCTGATTCCAGCAAGAAGGTGTAGGTGAGAATTTAAATAAAGCGGGGGATTGGGCTGTGGTGATGGCAGACTATGGTCCCTGTGAGTTACATGGGGAAGCACGACACAACAACGAGGTTGGCAGGCAAACAGGAAAATAAAACTTTCCTGAGGATGTTCGAGAGAGAGTCTGACTGTCTGTGTGAGATGAGAAAAACATCCTAGAGAACACGTCCTCATTCAGTGCTTCTGAGAATCGAAATACCTCACGGCCCGTCTGTGGCCATGAGATCTGCAGCGCTGGACTCCCTTATTGCGGAGGTTTGTGGAATGTAGGCGAGAGGGCCCTCTGTGTACACAGGGGAGTTTGCATCTCTTACTAATGTTAAAGCAAAGATATTCCAGCCATGTGAGATGTCAGCTAACTGATGTTTTGCTTTCAGAGGTGTAGGAGCTGCGACCTGAGTCCGTCTGAGAGATTTGTGTGCGAGACAGAAAGCGAGAAAAAGCGTGAAATGTGTGCGTGCATGTGGCCGCAGCAGGTGTGATTTCCTATCACTGTCTTCTGGCAGTTCTCATGAAACACATAATACATATTTCACACAGGGGCCTTGCAGCACATGTCCTGCATGCTAACACTGCCAGGGGGGGCATGGACAGAAACATGTGACCACATGGAGGCACATGAGGGTCAACTGGTTTCAAAAAGTCACACACAGATGGAGCTCTGGCCGTCCACTTGTCCCGACTAATCAGTTCAGGCTCTACTCGTGCTGTGCTCACTCACTCGGGTGTAGTAAGTCTTTGGCACTGAGTTTAATTAAGATCTCAACCGCTGAGAGAACGGGCCAAATCGTAGCTTAATGAGCAGTGAAGTTTTGTTGCAGCTCTGAACATGTGGAAGAGAGGTAGATGGAGGGAGAGAAAGTGGAATGAAAGGGAAGAGGAGAGGACGAGAGAAGGAGAGAGGTATATGAAAGATAAGCAAGGACAGAAATGATCAATAGGAGGGAGAGGTAGTGGGAGTAACTTTTTCTGGTTTGACTGATCTCTCCAAGCCACAGCTGCAGCTCCTCTCTCTGTGGAGCTCCCAGCAGGAAACCACAGCTGATTAGCACTGGCTTCTTCTCTCCACCTCAACTCTCTGGCTCCCTTTGTCACTGAACATCAAACCCTTAGTCCTCACAGCGTTGGCACAGTGCTCTTGTCCAGCTGCAGTGAACTTACATAACGCAAAAAGTGGTCAAATGTAAAGATGTTGGTTCAATTGCCCTGTATGGAAGTTGTAAACCTCAACATATGACTGTCACTTTTGAGGTTTCTCTGTATTTAACCCTAAGTATGTTTCTAAGAACGTGTTTTATTTGTTGAGCAAATTTAAAAGTAGCTCAGCCTCTCTCTGCTAGCCGACAACAAAGTCAGCACATGGAAGACTGACAGCTCTCGTAACTGGAACGAGAAACAACCAAAAGCACTTTCCTCACAAGCATGTGAACAGACAGGCCCCTGCATCCAGCCAATACTGTTGAAGGGCAACCCCACCTCTGTTACAGTGTAAATGTAAGGAGACCGTCCTCAATCCGTCAATGGTGACAGGTGACACACACGTTTATATCACAAGTGAATCACCTCTATGTTATGCAACCATGCCCTTGTATGAACTTCAGAACCACATGGATGTGTTCATACAGGTTAATGAGGCTAGAGATCAGTCGAAACTAATTATTACAAAACAAAGGTTGACTAATGAGATTTGGACATTTTTCAAGTTTTTTTCAAAGCTTTTTTTCTTTTTTTTTTTGCCAATCAGTTTTAAATTGTGCAAGGGAAGAGAGGAGATACAGCCACAGTGGGCTGCAGGGCATAACCTCAAACCTTCGTTCAGTTAAGAAACATCCTTTACAATGCTGTTCCTGTTACATTGCAATTACTTACACTGCATGAACCTGGACCTGTATCACAGGCTCTGATCATGGTTGCATTTCACTCTTTTCTATGATTTCTCTACCATTTTAAATTTACTGTTTCTTTTTTAGTTTTACTCATACATAAACCAACAGCATACATCCACAGACACACCCACAAACCAGGTACAGTGCCTACCAACCACACCTGTGCTTATCAGATAATCTATCAGTCAGACTGATACATAAACTATATTCATTTATATACTGAAACCAATGAAACAGTCCTGTCTTTCTGTATTATTGTGATGCACCCTATGTACAGTTTACATGTTCACACTATGCCATGTGTTTATGTTAAAGGTTTTATACTGATTATAATTTCCTCATCACACCAGATATGTTAACATGAGTTTTCTTACTGTATATTATGAATTGTCATATGTAACTGTATCAAATCATATGACACACCCTCTGTATCAGATGTTATGTCCCTCATTATGGGCACAGTAACTGACTATAGAAAGACAAATATTCTTCCCTTATACAATAACTCAAAAGAACATTTTTTTTTGTTTTATAATCCAATTTGAGCTGTTACTCTCAAGCACATGGTTTAAATCATGATGGGATGCGTGTGTATTACTCTCAGCCTTTGTGCTCAGGCGTCATTCACTCTTCAGAACAACAACAACAGTGTGGAGGTCAGTCAATGCTGGTACATCCAACCCAATTAGAAATGGAGAGGGAGGGAGGGAGGGAGGGAGACACAGAGGTCACATAAGGACAAAGAGTGTGTGTGTGATACTAAATTTGATTTTGTGTGTTATTAATACAATAGAAAGAACACAGTGCTTTCCTATGTGATATTTGAGATACTGAGCTTTAATTACTGATCGTTTTTATACATAGGTGCAGAAATTACTTGTATTTACATAGGCAGGTGTGTGTGTGTGTGTGTGTGTATGTGCGTGCCAAAGGCAGAGACAGAAACTCTGTCTCATATGAAACTGAGGCTTGTTGCATGTTTGGATCCATATGTGTTGTGTTTTTCTCTGAGAATGCAAACCAGACGGCTTGAATCATGCTTTGTACTGTGTGAATTAATTATTTGTTTTCATTTTTTATTTTTGCTTAAGAAAAGTACTAGAATCTACTTAAAAAAATATTTTCAAACCAATTTCTACTTTTGTGGAAACTGCACTACCTGAAATTTGAGTCAGCATCGATAAAAATACAAATTTGCACGAAAAGCAAAGAGTTCACATTTTTATGGCTGAACCATTCAATCAAATGGAACAGGGCTGCAACTAATCTTATAATTTATTAATTATTTTTCAGATTAATCAATTAATCGATTAATCGTTTGGTCTGTAAAATGTGGTCTATTACAAAGTAAAAAACAGAGGCCACTCTGACGTCATCACGTCTTATTTTGTCCAAGCAACAGTCCGAAACCCAAAGATGCTCAGTTTACTATAATGTATAACAAAGAAAATCAGCAACTTCTCAAATTTGAGAACCTAAAAGCCATAAAATATTTGGAAAAAATACAGTTCAGTGTGTTTGAACAAAGTCTGTTTTTTCCCATTGAGACTCCCTGTATATGGTTGATATCTCATTTTGGAACAAACTACCTTCATGTTTTTCTTCCTGTAAAACTGCCATGTCAGTCATTTATCAGGATTATCAGCAAGTCTTCAGTGAGATATTCGGGCACATTGGACTGTGATGGTGCAGAATATCTATTTAACCTGAGCTGGTCCACAGAGAGACACAGAGACAGGTGTCTTAGCTTTTCTTTTCGACAGATCCAGAGGAGAGGGTCATCTGTCCATACTCAGCTTGGGCCTTCATTATCAAAACATCTGTTTCATGTTCATCTCCCTGTGTGTACATAAGCACGCACACACATTTGTACATCCACACATGTCATGTAGAGTTGAAAAGGTTCTGCATTGATTTCTGTTGACTGCTGGGCAGAACAAAGGAACAGGAGAGAACGGGAAGATGGGAAGACAAGAAGAAAAAAAAGAAAGGAGGACGGAAGTGAGAGGGAACAGAAGAGACAAGACAAAGTGTGGACTGTGTGGCCTTGAGTGTTTTGAACAGAGGTGAGTGGGCCGAGCTTTGGGGAGGGTGTGTGGTTAACCGCAGGCCGTCATTGGTGGGAACACAAATGGGAGACTTTCCATCTGGGAGAAGTCATGTGCAGCTCTGAGAGAAACACACATACACACACACACACACACACGCACGCACGCACGCACACACAGACACACACACACAGACACACATACACACACACACACACACACACACACACGCACGCACGCACACACACGACACACAGCGCAACCTAAATACTTGCCAGGACACAGGAGGCAGTGGCAACAATAAAACACACTTGATAATGCTGGCACCAGCTGACACATCACACACAAATGCACATGCCTGATGTGAAGGTAAACAAACGCAGCTCCCAGTCACAACACACACTGTTTCGTCAGCTGAGACAAATAGAGGACCCGACCATGCTGAGGCTCTCAGCTACCTACTCTTTTGTTCCAAAAACACAACCCTGCATTAGTACTTTTAACAAATATTAGTTATGTAACCAAAGTAGAGACTTTTTTTTTTTTTACAGTTTCATCGCTATTACATGGGACAGGCTGCACATTGCATACCGTTTAATTCATCCTGTTCTATGTGATATTTCCTTTTGGCTCAGAATCTGACATTAATCCCTTAAAATATTTTGTGTGTTTTATTTTCTTCACCGTGGAGCCAATTGTGCCTTCTGGCCAGTTCACATTGAATATTACATTTTGTCCTGGATGTCCTTATCAGATTTAGACAGCTTTCCATACACTATAAATATAGGACACGTTAACAACTTTTAGAAGTGGTCAGGGACACACGCACAGCGCATAGTGTGAATATGAAGGCAGTTGCTGTGGACTTCAGTGACCATCTAATCCAATTTGTGGTTTGTATTTAGCATGACAGCACTCCCAAGCATAGTCCAGAGGTGATTTATCATTTTCTTTTTCTCCATCGTTCTCATTTCATTCTTTGTTTCCTAGAAGAATTTCTAACAAATCAGTTAACTATCAAAACCAGGAGAAATCAGAAGCTGGTTATTCCTGACGGTTTGAAAACGACTGAACTGGATCTGTTAGGAGCCAGAACCAACCACTCTAATAATTAAAGAGGGACAAGAAGATATATTTGTCCACAGATGTCTCTTTACAATGTACACCTGCAACACACTAATGATATATCAGCGATGTACAGAATCTGTGGCTCACCGTGAGGGAGGTGAAGGTCAGGCAGATGCCTCCAAAGCCGTTCAGAGACAGAGCCAAGAAGATGAGCGCTGACAGAACTGCAAAGCAAGAGAGAAACACAGAAGAAGAGTTAACGTCAAAGTTTACTCTCTCAGACAAAAAGGTTTGGAGGACAATATGTCCACCATGTCCACTAAAAGTCAAGTTGTGCATATTAATTTACTGACTACACTCGAATGTGAGGCAAGAAGTTGGTTGTGACAAACTGGTAAGAAAAAATCATTCTGTTCCCCAGTTCTGACACTGGAAAGATGTTTTTATGTTTTTTGTTTTTCATTTTTACTTTTCTGCTTTTTCTGTTTAATTTTCTTCTTCTTTGTTTTTGTTATCATGTTTCTGCAGCTACATTTGCTCGTTCATTTTTTCAAACTACTATTAGCAATTAGAACAAAACAATACGTTGATAAAAAGCAACAGTGAAGTGAGCGGAGGTTTCAGACACTGTGAGGCGATCTGACGGACGCTTGGCTTGAAGCATACTGAGGCCTTTATGAAGTGGAAAGAGCGGTTAGTACCAGAGCTCAATAAAAAAGATACAGGGAATAAAATATTGATTTTACAAGCAATGGAGACAATGTGGAGTCTGCCCTCTTTACACTTTTGTACACCTGTCTAATTGCACCTGTTGTAACAGTTCATCTGTC